CTGCGGTGGTCCCGTCCGCCGGTGGGATCTCCCAGGGGTGCAGGTGCGATTTCCTTAGGAGCAAGGGAGGGAAAGTGGCTTCTGCAAGCCCCAGGTGCACCTACAGACACCTGCGCTCCTTCCAGCTCCATCCGTTGGGTATCGGGGCTTTGGCAAGGGTGGGCTCGAGAGGACAAACATCACATAGCCCAGCCCGCAACCACCAGATAAACCCGCAGAAGATGGCCCGCGGCACGGACGGGCAGGCTCACAGCGCAGTGTTCAACTTACACGGGCGTACAAGGTCGTGCCTTGCCCCAAAATAAGCCCAGGCCAGCACGCACATGGAAACCCACGGCACATCTAGGGGGAAAAATGGGCCACGTTGATAACCAGAGCCCTGCGGCACAGCCACTCACCGCACAGTCCGCACCAGAAATTAGGCATCGGCCGTCGCGTGCCCGGCAGCCCCGGGGAGGCTCTGCCCGACAGCACGCCTGCGGACAACGCGGTTCCTGCATCAGCAAGCCGCAGCCCCTCTGTGCTGCTTTTAGACCTTTTTATCCTATTAAAAAAAAAAAATAAATCCAAAAAAAAACCCCAAAAAACCAAAGTCCTGAGGTTTTGCTCACATCCAAACTATCCTCGGCTGAAAGGATCTGCAGAGGACTCGGCACAGACTGCTCCGAGCGATGCAAAGGCAGGGCGGCTGCAGGGGCGACGTGCGCTGCAGCTGCCCGTTCCCCGCAGAGACCCCCTCCCCAAAATGCCGCTGCTCTCCAGAAACCAGGGTCTGCTCTCACCCTTGCTAACAGGAAGAGTGGCAGCAGGACTGCATCTGATGGCGACAGTGGGTGGGCGAGCGAGCCCCTGTCATTGCCCCATCCCAACCGGCCGGGACTTTGCTCTCGTCTCCCCGGGCTCCTTCTCACGCTGCTGCTGTAACATATGCAGGCTTCCGTGCTCGAGGCCACTTCAGCAGCGACAGGAGAGACCCCACGCAATTGACCTCACACGTATACGCTGGGCTGTATTCTGTATTC